TTTTATACATGTCTTAAAGTGTGGGAAATAAATTTGAAATGTCAAAAAATAATGAAAATTAAGCTGTAAAAATGAAGTGAAAAAAGTGTGTAATTTGAGTATTAAAAGTGAACCGTTGAGTTTTAAAGAAATTGGATTGCACCATTAAATTCTACGCACATTTAAACCTAGGAAATAAATTTAAACTTTCAAAAAATCATAAAAAATAAGGTACATACATGTATGCAAACAATTAATTAAGAAATGAGTAAAAAAAATAATTAATAATCAAAATTCATTTTTATGGAAAATGGTTTTTACCATTAAATTTTACACCTTTTAAAGTGTAGGAAACAACTTTAAAAATTCAAAAAAACTCAAAAATTAACCCATAAAAAATTAAATACAAAACCGTGCTTAAACGCGGAAACTGCGTGTGCTGTGCCGCAGCAAAACCGTGTGTAAATGCGGAAAAACCGTGTTTTTCTTTTAAGGCCCAAAAATAATGTAAGAGAAATTCACCACAACAGAACAGATTAAATGTTAAGAACAACTGAGAAAGATGAGGACACAGGACCAAGAAAACAAGATGATAAGGGTTAGTGATGAATATCATTTGACGAGTTGAGAGATGTGGTGTATTTCTCACCAAATTGAACCAAACTATTGTGATCCAATGTTAGAGAATATCAATTAATTTGATGAAATGTGAAGTTATTGATTTGGAGGGAAAGCTCAACAAAGTCAACAGGAGTTAGAGGGAGAGCTTGACAAGGTCAATTGATTTGAGGGATGAAGTTTGAGAAGAGCAAGTGAGTGTGAGGATGAGGTCAGATGATGTGAGAATGAAAAATTGGAGAAGGATAATGAGGTGAAGTATGAAAGAGAATTGAGAAGGAACAGAGTGAAAGAAATTCATGAGATGAGATTAGGTTTTGGTTGATGATAATTAGAGTTGACTGCTTGCTGCAGACAGCTGTTGTGAGAGGATCACAAGGAGTTTCAACAAAATATGAATCCAAGGTACCTTGAATTTGTGTTTCATTGGTCAGAGTTCAACCAAGTTAAACTTGGTTGAGTGCATCCCAGTTAAAATGGGATACCCTCAACCGAGCCAATTATTTTGGCAGTGTGATTTTACTTTATTTTTACCTGATATGATTTATTATAATATCATGAGATGGTTATCAGTCTACAAAATATCTTATTACTGTGAATGAATAGAATAAAAGGTTGTATTTCATAAGTACCAGCTAAAAGAAATACAATATAGAAAAAGAGAAAAGAAAAGAAAAATAGTATTCACCTTACCTAAAAGCAGTAGATGGCTAATGAGAAAGAACAAAAATGTAATTTGATAAGATAACAAAAAGGAAATGAATAAAAGGAATCTTAACAAAGAAAGTTAGGTTAATATCAGAACAGTGACAAGAACAGACCAACAAGGACCTATGATGATTTGAGGAAGTTTTCGGAGAAGAGGTGGTTGGTGATGTTGTTGGATGGAAGGGATCAATTTGATTCATGTTGAGGTCTAAGCCTTGGCTCTAGACCAACTGTTTACCCAAGACCAAAATATTCATGACATCATTGGGCCTGAACTCTATTTCATTGAGCTCAGGCAATGACATCATTGCGCTTGAACCCTCTCACTCTTCACCAACATTGTCATCGCGCATTCCAACTTTTCTTTATCATCCTTCCTCGTTTGTTGTATCTCCCTTGCTCCTCAGGACTCCTTCAAATCATTCCTCCACAGTCAATCTTCTCAGTTGACCACTTCATTCTTATCCATCGCAAATCATTACTTGTCTTATCCTATAAAAGACAAACATCATATCGCCACTCTCACCAATCTCTTTGATCTCTATATCAAATTGATCTCTTTCATTCGACAACTTCGTCGACCACTTCTTTTCCTCTTTGATCTTTGTATCAAATCGATCCCTTCCATTCGACAACTCCGCTGACCACTTTCTTCTTTCTCTATCCTCAACCATTGTAGGTACTCGTCGGTCTTTTTCTCACAAGTGTTCTGATATTGATTCACTCTTTTCTATTAGTTTTTCTCTTCTATCTTTCTCTCATTGACATATTGAGATATACTGTTGTTCTACTCATTTAGTCATTTACTGCTTTTAGGTGACTATTTTCTTCTTTCTTTCTTCTTTCTATTTATTGTATTTCTGAGCTGGTATTTATGAAATACAATCTTTTAGTCTATTCATTCACAATTCAGAGATCAAAGGTGGTCAACAATGTTGTTGGATAGAAGGGATCAATTTGATTCAGAGATCAAAGAATATGAATGGCGAGAATGATTTAGAAAGATCAACGTCAAGATAGAAAGTTTGACTGTGGAGGAACAAGTAGATTTTGATGAGGTCCTGAGGAGGAAGAAAAGTTGATGAGAGAGAAGAGATGATAAATAAAAGAGATAATCGGTACAGTGCACAATAGCAATGTCAAGGATACATGAGAAGATCCAAGCGCAATGATGGTTGCTTTGCAAGAGTTCAGGCGCAATGATGTCATGAGTGCTTCAATCTTGGGTAAAACAGTGGTCTGGAGTTTGAGGGAAGCTATGAGCTGAAGCTTAGATCTCAACAATTACTTGGACTTGTTATGAACTAAATCTGAATGTTTTCACTGCAAAGAATTATTGTTTTTATGAATTTCTTGTCTCCCTCCTTGCCTCACCGCATGTAATCTAGTGACATGTTTTGTAAGTCATGAGGAGCAGGGCTTACAAGGCTTGGGAATGTAATGTGGGACCTCACAAAACATTTCACATGTAGAGTTGACGACACCACCTCTTGTGCACTTGCTAACCCTGACGTTTCCTGGGGGTGTCATCAACGGTGCAACAGATATGAGACATGTATGTGTATCGGATTGTATTGTCTTTATTTTGAGCCTGATACCGGTATCAGTATTTTCTTGGTCGGTGAAAAAAATTTATTGTCTCCTATTTGGATTTACGAATGAAAAAAATTGTCTTCGTTTTTTTTTTTTCTTTTTTCTTCAATACGGCCAGATATATTGTGTATCAAATATGGTTTTGGTGGGATCAGTCATCTGAGACCATACAGAATACTGTCTCACTTTTCAAAGACAATACATGTGTATTGTCTCAGGAAAGTGAGACAACACAAATCTGGTATTTTTGGGCATTCAAATTCTGAGACGATACAAATAAACGCCTGGACTCATTTTTCTTTGCCACAAAACCTCATTCCAACTGGTAAAATGTGTTGCATACCACCCACAAATAAGAAAAGTCACTTCCCTTTGCTTTTTGGGTAGATTCAGTTGTCACAGGGACAACATTTCCAGCAACAATGACACTGTAACCAATCTAATCCTTGGATCGGATTGTAATTACCTCTGATACTTGATATTGGGACCTGCTTGGAAGGACAATCTGATCCCCATTTATCAGAGTAGTGAGATTGGGTAGAGAAATCCAATCCCAGGATTGGCATTGCTCTACCTAATCTGATAATCTGCTGATACTGGATCACATCAAATATGGATATCCATGAGGATATTTATGGATATCCCCCTGATATCCAAATGAGCCCCCACTCAGTCTCTTAGTATTACTCCCAGCCCCCAATCAGTCTCTTTAGATTCATCTTATTCCCATGAAAATTCTAACTAAAAACAATGAAAAACATCTCTCTCCTCCCCTATAAAAATTCTGACTTGAAATGAATAAAAATTACTTGTATATATCATTATTTAATAGTAGTAAAGAAGAAGAAAAAACATGTGTATGAGAGGTTTTTTTGGCCAAAGAATGATCCCATAAATGTTGGCTCAGTATCCAATCAGGATTGTGATATGATCCCAATCCCTCCTTGTCTGATACCCTCAGTTTTGATCCAATACCCAAGGGATGGGATTGCTAGGGCAATACCATCCCCTATTTTTCAACACCTGGGATCAAAAAATTGATGTGATCCAATAAATTGGCTGATACTGTAGTGGGGCGGATTGGTTTCAGTGTTGGCGGCAAATTGATTTTGAAAAAAAAAAACATATAGCACTATACACTACTTTTTTGATACAAACAAAAGGTGCCCCTAGTGCACCTTCAATATGCAAGCCAAAGGTGTACATGTCATCACTGATAGTTTTTGAGTGGCCTCTGGTGCACAAAAGTGGTGCTGTAAGCCCTCGTCACATATATGTAGTCTTTAATTACTGTAGCAGCTGCCATGGAAGTTAGTCCTCATCCCTCCACAACTCTCTAACAGAACAATGTGATCTGCCATTACAGTGCTCCATATTTTTGACTCTTCTTGTCTTTCAGTCTCTTTATTTTCTAATTTATCTCTCATGCCTGAATGATTACTTGATTTGGAAGGAGGTACTGAGCTTTATTGGCGGGTGAAAACTTGATCTCAATTGATTTTCACCAACAAATAACATTTAGAACTTCCTTCTAAATTAAAATATTTGGAAAATGTCAAAAGGGATAAAAGAAAGCTAAATTTGGAAAAGAAATAGCCTGAGGTGCAGTTAGTCATACCTTGACTAGTAGATGTATATTACAAGGCAAGAAAAAGAAATGATATATACAAGCACACTATGCCAGATTCACGGTGAGCAAAAATGCTATAGTTCACTTCTGAAAAGATCTAAAATACAAGGTACAATTTGCTGTTCTCCCCTGTGCTGGTCTCCTTAACAATAACTATAATCCATGGGCCCAGAATAGTCGTGATAATCTAGCCTGATGAGGTTGCACCGGTGAAGCCCTTGACGGCAGATACAATCTTCGATGAGAAGTCGACCGTTATCAAGTCCCTTGCCATATTTGCACATGTAGATCAACAAATCTATTTCTGCAGGGGCTGCAGAACCGATGGGAAGAGCGAGAGGCGTGGATTCAAATGGCAGTGTCATCCGGGGACCTGGTGAATCTGACCCCCCGATGACGCCATCATAGCGCCGTGGGTCCCCGGATGGTCAACGGCGAGGCGGTGACCGATTGAGTTTTGAACTTTTGATGAGCGGCCGCAGAGTTCAAGCTGATCGACTGAAAACCAGCAAACAACTCCGACAACCTCAAGAGTCAACAAGAACAACTCAGAACCAAAAACCCTTCCAACATGGCCCCCCCTTCTGAACCCGAATCTCAATCCGTCCAGGGAACGGTCGACTCAACCGATAACGCAGAGCAACATGGTCAACCGGGTTCGCGTCTCGTTTTTTCTTGTTTCTTTTTTCAATGGATATTTGTATTTCACCCACTCCACTTTCGTGATCGGCAAGCGCCGACGAGGCAGCACGTCGATAGAAGACGAATCTTGGAGGAACCATCTAATGGACTGATATTCATCCCGGGATACCGTCCAGTCCTATCTACCCCCCACTCGACCTCTCTCGATATCCCGACTGAAGGGTCGGGTCAAGGCCTCAATCGAACATATCCAGGAGTAGATATATCGCAAGATCTACTCATGAGCCTCTGAAATCAGTAGACAAAAACAAATCAAAAATTTTCTGCAAGCATCTTGAGATGTTCTTGTGACTCAAGAAATGCGTAGCTTTTCACAGTTGAATTGTGCTGCAAATTGACGGGCAAGATCATATTCTTACGAGCCGGGATCTTGTTTCAAGCTCGGTTTACTCAAATTACGTCTAGCGCCAATCTCAGATATTTTAGAGCATAGGCTGCATTGCAATCAGCTCGACAGTTATCTATCTGAATTCCCGACGATATTTATCGATTCGAAATCTTTCGCTAGTTTCGATTTCACATGTTCTTCTTATATTATTAACCTTTACACGCATTCTTGCCTTATTCAGAACAACGTGAGGCCACCCCTCCTCCCGTTCAATCCCCAGTTGCTACCACTCACTCCGCAAAAGAAGAAACGGGTAATGCTGTCTCGCATCGGGCACCCACTAGTCCGGATGCCAGAAGTGCCGAAGTCACTCAACTCAGAGCAGGGGAAAACTTCGTACCAGGCGTGAGTTTCCCACCTCGCCTTGTGTTTAAAATCATTAATCATTGATAGATTGATTTCAAACTTTTACTTTCCTCCTATCACCTTCTATTAGACGATCAACCAGCATCCCCCAGTCGGCTCTTCGGCAGGCCAAGCCTTCAAAGTCGGCGTTTCCGAAGACAGAAATCGGAAGTGCAGGAGGACGATGGAAGATTCTCACTCCTTCTTGTATAGCTATGGAGGCGTCGACGGCCAAGGCTACTTTGCCGTATTCGATGGACACGCAGGAAAGCACGCGGCTGAATGGTGCGGACAATGGTTTCATGAGGTACGGTATTGTAAACCTTCCACAAATCACAGGATGTCGCCAGGGTAGCTAAATGTTATCACTTTTCCTGCATCTTTTGGCTATTTAGTATCTACTTCACGAATTGATGAATACCCCAAGAACAACACCAGTCCCGGATTTGTTAAACTCAACCTTCCACATTGTCGACACCAAATTATCGCAGGTCGCGGCCGAAGTTGGAACTCATTCAGGTTGCACGGCCGTCACCGCTTTCCTCAGGTTAGAATATCAGAATGGGGAACCGGTCGGGTCAGTCGGAGCCGGAATTTCAGATAAAGCTGTCACTCATGTCAACCTGAACGACATAGTCGATCAACCGTGGAAGCACGAAGCGATCGCGCTGTCGGAGGCACGCGACAGTACTCAGAAAGCTGCTGAACAACGGAAGTCTTCGTGGGATGAATCACGGCAGTCTAAAGGTGCTATCAAGCGAACTTTGTACACTGCGAATGTAGGAGATGCAAGAGCTGTGCTTTGGTTTGCATTTTCTTGAAATATTTCCCTGGCTGATCTCAATTAATCCCATAAGCTTATTTTGTCCTCGTTGTTGTGTGATTCAGTCGAGGTACTAAGGCAGTTAGGTTGACATATGATCATAAAGGTTCAGATCAACAAGAAGCTCAAAGAATCACCGACGCTGGTGGATATGTCATGAACAATAGGGTCAATGGTTTGTTGCTTCTGACTATCACCTTCCTGGTTTAACTCTCATTGACATTCCTTGAAACATCCTTTGCTAGGCGTACTGGCGGTGACAAGATCTCTAGGCGACTCTTCCATGAAGGAGTTTGTCGTTGGATCACCATACACGACTGAGACGACACTGGGTCCGGAAGACCAATTTTTGATTATTGCATGCGATGGTGTAAGTTTCCTTCTTATTATCTCGTTTTCAGTGCGAACGAAGTCTCATGTATCCATAATTGTTTAGTTGTGGGACGTATGTGAAGACCAGGATGCGGTTGACTTGATCTTGAATGTCAAAGACCCACAGGAAGCTAGTCGAGTGCTGTTAGATCACGCACTTTCACAATTTTCAGTTAGTTATTCATCCACGATCTTCCTGAATGTTCCCCTTTTTCTTTAGTCTGCAACCAAAAATAACAGCAAAAATAAGGAATGAAACGCTGATAATGTCGACATGACTTGTACTATCAGACAGACAATTTGAGCGTGATGGTTATTAGTTTGAAGCCGGTTTCATTTTTCGATGTTTAAAATGAAACGAGACAAGAAACGTCCGCGGCAATTTCCACCCTCCTTCCGCAAGAAAAAATGAAAAATATACAAAGCAAAATAATATCAAAAAGAGATGTCTCAAATAATGGGCGTGATTAAGTACATTTTTTCGCATATCCAACCAAGTAATCGTCTCTTCTTTTTCATTTTAATTTTTTCCTCTTCTTCATTCATTATTCAACTTCTAGAAACTATCAAATAAGTTTGAACTCTTCATCAACCTAATCGGGTGTGTCACATTTCTCTCCATCCATGAGCTAAGACTATGTAAAGAAAGTACAACAGTGCATATTGGTCAGGATACCGAGTGAGTTAATGAAATGCTTGTTCTTCCTTTTTTGCCTCGTTATATCTGTCTGGTGATTTTTTTTGTATCTTCGGCTCTCAAAAGAAAATCCATGTTTGTTTCCAATCAATCAAATACTTTTACTTACATGCACACACAGATATATACACTTCTATGCCACACAGTCATGCAAAAAATGGTGATTGTTGCATACAGTAATATACACTTTTCTGGATGTCATATGTGCCTTGAGAGTTTGCTGATTTAGAATGACAATGATGATGTTGATGATCTTGATAATTGTAATTAATATATTAAATAAGTTTCAAGTACAAGTGAACAATGTTGCTGAATAAAAAACCACTGGGCTGCCATGGCCTGGTCATTTTCCTTGTCAGAGTTTTTGTTTTTTTACTTCTTTTAGTTTTCTGGCTATATTATATTTACAGTGTATCTATTTGAAAAAATTGATGACTGCTGGATGAGAGGGGGCAAAACATTGATATTACTGTTCTGCTGTAGCTCTGGTTTTACAGCTTGAGCCCAAATGCAATGGCAATGACCCTTTTATTCACAACTGCAAGGCACTGACTCTGGTGAACTAGATAGATAACAGATATGACATTTCAAGTGCATTTGGGCACAAGCCCAAGTCATGATGGTGCATAGCAAACTGGGGCTTGGAGCTGTACCCAGCAGGCTTGATCAGATGGGTTTGTGGAGGATTGATTCTTGGCACATGGCCCTGGATGTGCCTCAATGGGCTCTGGGCCAGTCACATCCACCACTTTAAACCCACACAAACCTGAAACTACTAGCCCACAAAAACACACTCTGACTATGGTTTCAATGCACTGTAGAATCTGATTATGCCATAATACACCCGAGAATCAATCCTCTCATCAATTGTTGACTGGCTTTATGTAATTTGATACTTGAAACACAATTGGAACACTACAGCGGTAGTGGAACACTAACACTACACAAAAAAGGGCCACTGTTAGAGTGGCTATGCTAACACTAAGTGGCCCTGCAGCGTATTTGAGTGCAGCAGCCCACTGCTGGTTAAAATATTAATATCAAAAACTCAATGTGACACTTCAATAAAAAGGGGGTTTTTGAGCCACAAAGCTTGGAATGACAGCCAATCAAACATGCTTATTCTAATTAGTTCATTTTTATACAAGAAACAAAAGAAACCAATTGACACCACTTAGCATGCATGACTGCAATGAAATCAAAATATGCCTGTCTTGTCCCAAACCAAACCAAGATTGAATCCTTAAGAATAAAGAACAGAAGCAGGTTTGGACAGTTTCTTTGGCTCTTGAAAAGACCCTGGCAAGCCCCTCAATAGGGGGCTATTGAAAAAGGTAAAAACCCAAAACAGAATCTTGAAGAGGCTTTGCGGATGGCTGTCCCACAGGAGAAGCCATCTCAGTCCACAGATGTGAGGTGGACTAGTCTGGCTGGAGATGCTCAGACAGTGAGCATGACGGATGAGTCTGAGCGCAGAGATGACTCCTGATGAAACGCTGTCTCTTTCTCCCCACCCCTTTCTTGGTGTTTCTCCCTCATCTGTCAGCTCCTCCTGCTCACACAAACAAGACTACTCCACCTTCATTACTGCCACAACCCTTTTGCTTCTTTTTCCACCCACCCACCCTACTTTTGGGATGCACCAGCTGCAGCCTAATGGAACTCGACGTTCAATAGTGTATAATTCCTTAAGGAAGAGAGAGAGAGAATGACTCGGAGGGGACTTCCGAGTCATCTCCAGGTGCCGTGCTGCGGCGAGTCAGAGGCATGTAACCCCCAGGTTACAACACCCCCCCTCTCGCCGCAGACGCCCTACTACGTACAATGGTAGCTCCACAACTAAGAAAATACACAAGAAAAAGAAAGAAAATGTAAGGCACGCTGTAAATAGAAAAAAATTTCATCCAAATTGGAAAAAAAATTATCCCATAATCTTATCCCGCAGACCATGGAAAAGGTCTGGTGATAAACATTTTGTGAACACATCGGCTATCTGATCTTTCGTCCCAACCCAAGAGAGTGTTGTCTTCTTCTGAAATAGAGCTTCATTAGTAATATAGAAGTCCCTGTCCGAGTGTCTAGTCCGCTTATTAGAAGCATCATCCGTAGCCACTCGAACAGTTGACTGATTGTCACAATGCAGATGACCAACAAAATCTAACTTTAAAACATCCTTGAGTAAGTGCCTTACCCATAGAGTTTGTCTGGTGGCTACTCCCAGAGCCATGTATTCCGCATGGCACGTCGAAGATGCCACTGATTGTTGCCGCCTCGCCACCCAAAGAACAGGGCAATTGAAAACTGTAATGAAAACACCATAAGCAGACCTAGAGAACTCCCCTCCCCACGATGCGTCGCAGTACGTCTTCAGAGGTTTGCTGTCTATTGTTGGGAAAATTGACAGTTTCAGGTCCCTTGTTTCCGCAATGTAATTGATGAGATGTCGGAGACCCTTCCAATGAACCTCCCCAGGCTTTGCTGCAAAGCGTGCAAGGAGATTCACAGCATGACATATGTCCGGCCTGGTCCCTACCGCAAGATAGCTGAGTGAACCTATCACAGATAAAAACTTTCCTGTCATATTTGGATCTCCATCCGGGTCAGTAACAGCATTGAAGTTAGTAGGCAAAGGTGTTTTGGCAGTCGATACACCATCCCATTCTGCCTCTAAAATACCGTTGATCAACTCCCTCTGATAAAGTTGAAAACCCTTATCAGTCCGGACCACATTCAAACCTACAATTGAGTCAAGCGACGAAGACCACTTGATTTTCAGGATATCTTTCAGGTCCGTTTCCAATTTCTTGAGTAGAGCTTCATTTGATGCCGTCACGACCCCGTCGTCCACATGGAGCCAGATCACACCATGGTCGGTTGGATGTCGCAGGATGTAGAGACTGTTATCGTACTGTGATGGAATGTAGCCTAGCTTGTTGAGTACGTCCCTCAGATGAAGCCACCAACATCTTGCGGCCTGTCGGGTTCCGTAGAGAGCCTTCTGGAGAAGCAGGGCATGGCCAGGAGGTACCTCGAGTCCTTCGGGTGGTTTAACCCATACTTCTTCGTCTATTGGTGAGTTGAGGTAAGCTGCTACAAAATCAAAACTGTGGACTGGCCACTTATTAGCAGCTGCTATGCTCAGCAGTACACGGAGTGCCACAAAAGTAGCTGTTGGTGCAAAAGTTTCATTGAAATCCACTCCAGATACCTGTGTGAAACCTTTAGCGACAAAACGCGCCTTGAACCGGATTCCAGTGCCATCAACGTCCGGTTGAGTGGCAAAAACCCATCGGCCATTCAGTGCCTTCTTGTCCGTAGGCATCAGTCGGACAAGCCATACTCTCATCTGTTCTAAGTTGTTGAGCTCCACGGAGATTGCCTTGGACCACGCGTTTTTCTCGGGTGAATTCATCGCCTGTCTGAAAGTCTTAGGAACAGAAATAGCATAAAACTGACAAAGTTCTAGGATCTTGTCAACTATCAGCTCTTGGTCATGGAATTCAATTTCTCTGGTAAAATCCCCAAGCTGCATCATATTCATAACAAAATCCACACTCAAACGGGGAGCCTCGCCCACTAGACCAGGGTCAATATGATTTTCCTCCTTGGGCGGTATTTGAGTGTTGTTATCAAGATCATCACCTACCTTTCCAATCTTAGCAAAATGTGAATGTTCCGCGTCAACAAAAGTTACCAGTGCCGAGTTCACAAAACGGTTTTCTGCCGGGATCCAGAACATCCATCCCTTGCTCGTCTCCAGATGAGCCACAACTCGTCCTTGAAGAGCCCTCGTATCGAGCTTCAGTCGGTTTTCCACTGGTATGTGCACATACGCATAACTCCCAAAAGCCCTAAAACGGTCAAAATGTGGTTTGATTTGGAAGAGAGCTTCATAAGGTGTGATTTTTCCACTAGCTTTGTTGGGCAGTCGATTCAGGATATGTCCTGCCCATTGAAAGGCATAGCACCAAAAGGTCTTAGGAAGAGAGCTGTCAATTAACACAGTCCGGCCCATAGCCTGAACAGTCCGATTGAATCTTTCAATCATCCCATTTTGATAGTGGTGATATGGCAGTGCTCTTTCCGTCCCTATTCCCTTGGATGTGAGGAATTCCCCAAGCGCCTTGTTAATGAATTCACCGCCATTGTCGCTTCGCAGTAGTAGGACCTTATTTGAAGTGATCCGCTCCAGACGTGTGATTGTGTCCATGATGACTTTGTTTGAATCTGATTTGGCCTTGATTGGTTTCACAAAAAAGTAGCCTGTCGCCGCATCCCTGAGTGTAAGCAGATATTTGCTGCCATCAACCGCCTCTACTTCGAAAGGTCCAATAAGATCCACCGCTGTGGTAGTCACAAATGTGAAAATTCAAAGTTTTTTCCATTTCTTTTTCTTATATATATATTTCTTCATATTATCACCCAATCACTCTCAGAATTAATAACATACGGCTCATGAACTGGACTCTACGGACAAATTCACCCTTGGTCACCACGGAGGCGTCACTGGAACACACCTGGATCAACTCTTACCCAACACTGGACAACATATCACAAGGATTTCACCCATCATTACATATCACCAAACCCAATTACAACCCTCAAGCTACACAGAAACCCTCAGTACAGTACACACTCATTTACATACATCTACACTCTTTACATTTCACTTCTACATATTACATCATACCTGCAGCCTAAATTAGTGTATTTTCCATGCATGACAGCTGCAGCTTACACCACCACACTCACTTGTAAACACATCAGAACCTGACCAATCAGAATCACTCATTCAGCTGCTTGGATCACCACTTCAACTCTTGTACATGTCTGACCAATCACATTCACTCATTCAAATTTTGTATGTAGCTAAAAATACCTCATGTAATAGCCCAGGCCAGCCAAAATCACTCATTACTGGCTGCCCTGGAGCTAAATTCCCTCACTGTTGTATATATAAGGAGGCTCTCCTCCCAGTTGTTTAATCCTCAGTCAAGTAACACTCAAGGAATATTTGACCACCTTTACACAAACACTTTAAAAACGCCAACCAACCCACATCAACAACTCTTCATCACACAACTCAATCCTGAACTTTACCCTATCACTTGATTAAAACTAAACAAGCTAAGCTTGGTGGGTCTTGTT